TGAATGGGAAGGTACCAAGATTACAACCGAGTACAAGCTAGAAGCAAGCACTTCTATCCCCTCTGCACAAACCGAGAAGCTGTACTGTGACAGGGGGGGTATACACACAACTGAACTACAAAGAAGTGCACAATGGATGGGACAAAGGAATACCCAAACCCCATCAGTGGGACAATAAAGGGCGTTAAGCGCCACCCGGTACCCAGTCCACCTTATCAACACGCCTAGGAAAGGAATGACTGAAGCGACAGAGAAGGATGGAGGTTCTATTGCCCTGCCTTGTTTCGCATGGGTTGAGATTACGAAGGTGGAAAACAGGCCACGAAAATCACTAACCCTCTTTGAACAGTCGACAATCCCCACTCGCGTGCAAGCGTACTAATATGATATTTGTAAACATAAACTTGTACCTTTCCAAGAATACTCATGAAGCATATGTGCAGGGCAATATTCATTAACTTTAGTGTGAAGCTTACAAGTAACGCTTGTCACAGTAGCGAAAAGGCTAATAGGGCATACAAAGACTAGGCTGCTCTTTTCAGCGGGAATTATGGCAGTGCATACTGTGTACACACGCATTCAAACCACTTTGAAAAAGTTAGACCAAATAATACTTAATTCCTGGCTTCCACAGTGCAAGGAAGACCCGAATGGTACGACCTAACCTCCCACTGAAAAGGCCATAAAAAATAAAGCCCTATCCGATTTCAACTTCTTCAAACCAAATTGAAACCTTCCCCCATTATGATTTTCCGAATAGGACGACATTCTGCAGTTTACTACACTTCATCTCAACCCCATGGTGAACCAGTGCCAAGGCTGTGGGCTGCCAAGCCCAATCACGAGACACAGTGCATTCTTTCAACGCCTTCATCGCTGCACGCCTTGGAACACCAATAAGCTTATCGGGGCAATATACGACGCGGTTTCTAACCAGCTCGTGATTGGACCAGGACACCCATAGCCTTGGCTGTGGTCCATCGTAGGGCCAGACAGAGTACAGCTTGCGTAGCAAGCAGGGTGCGAACGAGAAAGCCGCCGCCGCCACCGACATAAAGCGAGCGGGACATCGATGGCGGGGCAAGGATAGTGCGGGGGGTGTCAGGAGGAAGGGTGGGCGTGGCCGCTGGCCACCCTGGAGCAGACGGAGCAGCAGGTGCAGCAGCCGGGACAGCGCCCGACAGTGGCCAGGTTGCCGTGGCCCAGGGTGCGCGCCGAGGTGGAGCACGTGGAGCAGTTGGGGGCAAAGCAGGCCGACACATGGGCCTCCGCCATGGCGTCGAAGCCGTTCACTTGTTGATGGGCATGCCGAAGGCGTCCAGCATGCTGTCCATAGCCGCCTGCGCCACGCGCGGCGGCACGCTGGGCAACGAGCCACGCCTGGTGTTTTTCCCCGCCGGGCGGCCGAAGGCGGTGGAGTGCGGTGTGAGGGCGGAAGAGACAGAGGAGAGAGAGGGGGAGGCACAGAAGAAGGTGGTGCAGGAACGGAATAGTGAGTTACGAAGATGGAAGTGCGAGATGGGGGAGAAAAAAAAAAAAGAAAGAAGGCGATGGTGGCGTTGGAGCGAGTGGCGGGACGGTGAAGTGGGAACAGGGGGAAGAAAAGGGAGGAAGGCATCAGTGCATGACAGAAAGAGGAAGAAGCGCAAGGGCAAAACGAAGCGCCAGAAAAAAATAATAAAAAAGCGGCGCGAATTAAGTTGAGGCAATGATTTGGGGGAGGAATAAGGGCGCAGGAAAATGTGGCACACAAAAAACGAAACAATCGATTTTAGATGCCCGAGCATGAGAGCAGAAAATAGGGGAGAATTACGAGAAAAAATTAAGTAGCACAAAAGGGAACCGCAAGGAAAGGATAATAGCAAGGAGAATTGAAGGAGCAAAAAAATGTGAGACAAGGACGCCGACAGGAAGAAGCCGGCGTCACGGGATAGCGAACAATAGGAGAGGTAGGCAGGGACAGGAAGAAGAGAAAGAGTGGAACCACGACCGGGAGTTAGTGGCATCTGTCTGGCAAACGTGCCAGAAGTATGCAACAGACCTCCCCCGAAGGGCTACTCTAAGGTTGTGCACCGCAAAAGTTGCTAGTATAGCACAAATATAAAGGCTTTACATGCTAAACGTTTCTAAGCACACATCCCAGGAACAAGATACCCAGTACAACAGGTAACAGACTGAAAACATAGCTTGGGAGCCGTTTCCTAGAGGCCAATTTGCAAACATAAAGACTGCCACATCACCAACCCTCAGCACCGTTGAAAAGCATATTAGAAAACGGCTTATGGAAACAGTTTCCCGTCTCAGGACAGAGCTTCCATATTCAATATAATCGAGGAATTTGTGGAAATGACAGAAAAAAGCAAAATCCCCCTGTAAGGAAGTTCTGCACAGCTTCCCTACTAACCAATGCATCCAAGCTTTCCCAACACTATGGCCATAAATTGTGAAGACAAATAACCCGGTAAAAAGAATTAGGAGCTAAAAAAGATAAGCACACACGGGTAAAATAGATAAAACTTGAAACAAAGACAATCTAAAATGTTATGAACCTACAAAATAACCTTCATATGTGTACAATTGAAAATCAACATATTACACATTGCAATGCTAAGTAAAATTGTTGCACTATATATTATACATAGAACTAAAGATGTATTGCATCCCAACTGTTTGGCATATCAGGGAACCATTGAGTACAACCAAACAAAAGGTACAAGAGGAAGCCCCCTTACCGAAACCTCTAAAACTACCCGTTACATGCCACCTAGGAAGACCCACATCGAGCTAACAGCAGGGCTGAAGCAGACTTCATGGCACATGTCTTGAAAATCGCCTTTCAAAAGTTTTTTATTGTTTGGAGAAGAGTGTTTGTAAAACTAAAACTGAATCACCAAATAAACAGATCTCTAACCACTCAATGTTTCGTCAACTTCGGCAGTCCTCGTCATCTTTGAAACATAAAGAGCAACCTCACCATTGACACACAGTCATCAAACCATATTTCTGAAAGCGAGTGCCTCTCTTTCGGACAGGTCCTCAATAAACCTTTTTCCGAAAGTTAGTAACTAAAAACACCAAATTTCTGCTTTAATGTCAGTGATAAAACAACACAATAGACTAAACCGTGTGCCCTTGACCTTTAAACCAATTTGACAGAGTTAGATCATTGCTGTCTCCTCTACACTCTCATAGAAATTAAGCTCTCCTAGTGGAGATAAAACTATTGAGTCCTACTCACACAGTACAGTTAGAGTATGTCTGACTATGCAATGAGGGCTCACGTTGAGTTATGACTGCGAGTCCCCAAGATGTCCGTGCTCCGTACGAAGCGTAGTAATTAATTCAAAGGATAATTCTGCAAGTGACAGAGACAGCACTGAAGTCCTGTAGACTCACTCATGCCACAATGTAACCTAAGAAATTGTAGACTAATACAGTAATCCCTCGTTATAACGAAGTCATTGGGAGGGCAAAAAAATTAGATATAAGTGGTAATTCGATAAAAGCGATAGAACCAAAAAAGCAGCGTCAGCAGTCCTGAAGCTGGATGGGAACACTGAGGAACACTCCGAGTGTGTTTATTTAATCAACCACACCTTGGTTATGAACAACAAGCAGCTGCTTCACCGAGTAAAAAAATAAGAATTAAGTGGAGTTTGCCGACAATTTAATCCAAGCATCAGTTCTCCTCGAGCTCCTCCAGGCATCGCAAGAACACTGTCACCGCCGCTGCACTCCACTTTGTTTCGAAGCAGTCGTAAGACGTTCAGCGTATCCATGGTTGTCGGCATTTCCCGAGGTGCTTCGCCGACGTCGCTTCGTGTTTACCCTGGCCGCACGCAAGGTCTACAATCGCAGCATCCGTGATAGAAGCAACAACGAGAATGTTTGCATCGACAAGCTCGAACAAATCAAACTTATCCTCGGTGGCTTCGCCGACATGTTTGCATATACTCCTCTAGAGATTGTTGCAGTTCTGGTAATCGTGCACTGGCTTGGCAAGCATGCTCGCTAGAGAAAATCAGACGTGCGCAAAGCAGTCGGCAATCTCTCATCTTCGGGTTGTGGGTGCGCTTTCTCTTGCATGAGGAACTTCTCAAACCTCTCCCGTATGCCTTGCTTGTACTGCAAAATGGTGGACAGTGTCAAACAGTCGATGCCGGAATGTTGAATTCTTTGGCGATTTCGAACTTGGGACCGGCCACTTTTCTCAAACTCGCAGACCTAAGCGACTTTTGGTAAACACTCCCACTCTCCCATACGACACGTGTGCGTGTGTACCCCGCAAAAGCGTGTGTTGGGGGCTTCCAAAGGAATGATCTCCTCCACACTCCTCCGGGCTCCATCGCTCCTTTGATCCAATTCCGACAGAAGTTAGACGATGTCGGCCGCGGGTGTTATGAGTAGCATCAAAACGTGGATGTAGCTCCCGCTGCTTCCTGCCTGTGTCGGCACACCGTCATCAGAAGCGGCGCTCTGCGCGCTCTGCCCAGAGTCACCTTCGTTTTCTTGTTTGCCATATTCTCAGTTTGCCGTTTGCCCCGGTGAAGAGGAAGGGAACGCAAGGGTCTCCATGCGGCTCCGTGTAGACTTGCATGCTTTCAGCACCGCGACCTTTGCGGTGCATCCGGTTCAAAATACGTGCATTTCGGATAGGATCATGTTGACTTCAATAAAAGCGGTAATTCGGAAAAAGTGATTTCACTATAACGAGGGATTACTGTACTATTATCTGAAGGCCCATCTAAACTATGCCATTAGAGCGTAGGGTTTGGGCTCTGAATGTTTTGGAAAGGTGGACTTTTGAAAAAGAGTCTACCTTTGGTTGTGCCCATCTTAAAACACCAAGTGAGGTTGAAACTGACGATGCCTAAACAGAGAAATGTGTCCCCAAAGTTGTCCTTGGGTGTGCCCAAAACCTCTCCCAAATCCAAACTACTTCCTGTGTCCACGGGCAGCAGAGCAAAACAAGGGGAAGCAGAGAGGAAGGGAGGACTCACGAAGGAACAAGGGGTGCCTGGAAAGCGGCACTGATAGGCCTGGGTGGGGCTGCCGGGGGGGGACGCTGGCCCCCCGACGCCGCCTCTGGTCGCGATGGGATCACTGGGGCTGGCCGGCTGGCCGCCGCTGGGACTGGGGGGGGTGCCCGGGAAGATCCCACATTCCTCCGGGGACCCCCCGGGGAGGGAGGGGCCGGCCTGCACAGAAAACAAGTGCCGTCTTAACGCTCCGACGACATTCAACTCTCATTGAGTATGCACCCAGCGGACCACAGTCCTCCACGTGGTCGTTTACTACATCATTCGCCATAATTTCCCGTTTCAGGCTGGCCTTCAGTAAACACTTCCGAGTGAATGAATTAATGGGCAGATTGGTATTTAGCGAAAACCAGCCCCGCACTTGTTATTTAAATGCAAAACGTCTGGAGATGCCGCTGCTGTTGTCATCTGCTGATAAACAGGGTGCCACATGGCAAGTTCACTCTCTGTTGAAGACACACTCAGAACACTGCAGTAGAACAATAGCTACATTTGACTCACTTTTCATAAAACGCTTAGGGTTAATATTTTTCAAACTTGTCAAGAAAGCCTCCCGATAGCCTTATGGTGCAGCCGACATTTCAGTAAAGCCCTAGACCCACTCGAGCGACAAAGAGCACCAACCGACACTGACCAACCTCGAGTGGGTGCCGTGTGTATGGGAAGGTATAATTGGCCGGCTCGCAGTCCCTGGTGCTTACTTCATGAGCTCCATGAGAAACTAAGCTTGGCGAAGATACCTTCGAACGCATGCTGCACACGCTTGAGGTTGGTCGGCAACGGTTGTTGCTGCTTGTCGCTAGAGTGGGACTAGGGCACGAGACTTCGCTGCCGCCCTGAGGCTACTGAAGGTCCCTCTTCATGTTTCTTCTACCACCTTCGTGCTTCGTTTGACACTCAGCAAAGCTGAGCACTTGCCACTGCCATTAAGCACCCTCGTAGTCTAGATTGAGTTGTCCCGACCCCAACTGTGACTCCTGAGGACCGTACGCCAGTGGCCCAACCGCGAAAGCCGAGAAGGAAGGCTAACCGTGGGGAGTCCGGGGGCTGCATCTTGAGCCAGTCGTCCTTGACGGGAGGGGGCGTCGGCTGGTACGAGGTCTGCATCGACACGTCCCCGATGATGCGCAGGGCCTCCTTGCAGGCGTGGTACATGCGCAGCATCTCGTCCCGCTTCTGGGCCTCCTCGGGGCTCTCCTCCATCAGCTGCGTCTGGTCCCCCGAGGCGTACAGGGCCGCCAGCAGCTCTGAGTAGATGAACTCCTTTGTGTCGTTGATGGTCAGGTGCATGATGATCTTGGGGACCAGGTCGCGGAAGGTCTTGGTGATGATGCGCATGTAGGAGTCCACCAGGTTGCGGATGGTCTCCACCTGCCGCTCCAGCTGCGGATCCATCGAGGAGCCGCTGCCCTCCGACCCGCTACCGTCGGAACCCCCTTCTCCGTCCCCGGCCGCACTCTGGGCCCGCTCCGGGTACACCCCCGCCCGGAGAAAGGACGCCTTCCACGAGTCTACCTCTTCCTGGCTCTCGCAAGACAGCTCCAACTGCTTGTAGTCCTTGTATACATTCCTTCTGTTAAAAAAAAAGCCACGCATGTACCGCTGGTTAACTCCTGTCCTCCTCTTGATGCAAAACTGCATTCCAACAAAAGCTAACACGGGGGGTGTCGGTAGCCGAGCGTGCTAACATGGCGGAACTCTGAGCACGTAGAGCGAAAGTTTGCGCTGCAAAACCCGTGCATCCTGGCCGCAATCCCCACCGCCCTGTTCGTTTTGATCTGGACGAGCATTATACCAGAAAACAGTCGTAAATCACTACCGGCCACTTTTCTCGTCTACAACAGACACCAGACGCCCGTTGGGGCCGACTAACTTCCCGCCGTTTATGTATACATGCAACGCAATCACTTTTAAGCTAATGCAGATTTTGGGAACACCATGCAAAGCAAGGCGTGCTGCGGCGCAGTCACTGGTGGCCGAGCTGGCCGCCCGTCAAACACTCGTGCCAAGTGACCCACAATGCAAAGACTGGTTCCCGCACTCGTGTTTGAGTGCAACCAAGCACGTCGCTCACCCTTCTGATCTCTCGCAGAGAGAAGAACTGGCGCCATCTATCGGGTGGCCCCGGAACATTTGCATTTTGTGTACATTTCCTATTTGTTTCTTTCTGCGTCGTTCTTTCGTTGTGGGCTCTAAACTCTTGACAATGTTGCGAGTAACCATTTCCCAGTACTATGCACATTTGATCTCGCTAATACTGCAAAACCTTCCGTCTAGTTATGCGCGGTTCTGGGGCAACCTGATAGGCGGCACCAGCGTCGTCTTTGTGCTTTTGCTCGTCGTAAGCAATCACATGGAAGCACAACTCACTCGTGGTCACACTCAAGCCCAAGTGCGCAAACCGGCCTTTAGGAGTCATTACAAACGACGCTCTCCCGTGTAATCTCCGTGTTGTCGCAAAAAGGAGGAGGAGAGGACGGCGGGGTGATCTATGAAAAGATCCGGCGCCACTTGCCAGGAATGGGAGTGTCGCAGATGAAAAAGGATCGACAAGCGTAAAACTGAACATAACGGTTTAATCGACGAACTTGTACCAGAAACAAAAGAAAGAATGAGCGTCGACGAAGCAGCAGCAAGGGTCGAGGTGTCGGCAAGACAGCCAACTAGAGCAAGTGTCCAAGTGAGTCGGCAAGGCCACTCTGGGCTCCTTATCAACTACTCAGTATCTCGAACATTCGATCTAGAATGCTCAAGCACTGAACACTCAAAAGGCTGACTCGGCGAACATTCCAATCGAGCGTCAAATCATTTGGGGTAGGAGTAAACAAGAATCCTCCAGAAGCATGAAGAATCGTTCCCCTCGGCGATGCATGCAGCAATACGGCAATTGGATCCCTAGGCTAAAAATACAGCTGCAATATTTTTTTTTTCTGCCACACTAACAACTATTTTTTTCATCACAGACCACATTGTATGCATTGCCATGTCACCGGTAACTCAATCCGTCAATCTGTTAGTCACCTCCCTTTGCTTCCATTGAATGTCCTCCGATCCGGCCCATCAGCATCGCACTGCTTGTCTCAGCATGACATCAGTCAACCCTTCATTGGCAAGTGTATAGCACGCACCTACATCGACACCCATCTGTTGCCCATTCCAAGGTGCCAACTGGTCGCCCGCCCCATCGCCTGTTCCTTCGATCGTCCCATCAAGCGACCGGTCACTTCCATCGGGCAGCCGTTCCCTAAACCCTCGCTACATTTTCACGCATGGAATAAATTATGTCGAGTTAGGAAAAAATGTGGCACTGTGGTGCAAAAAAGCCATTGCTAGAAGTGAGAAAGAGAGCCGATAGGCAAGAGCAAAACTAACCTCTGGTCTGGATTGAACAGGGCAAAGGTGTTCCGTCGAGACATGAAGCCAGCCTCAATGTCTTTGATCTTGAGGCCGTCCAGAGGAAGCATATACTTTTTGTCCTTCTCCTAAAAAGGCCCAGGAGAACCAGAAGGTGAGAACGGCACGGCGTGAGGCCAACAAAGCAACTTTACAGATTATTGCCACGAGAAAATATGCTCGCAATTGTTCTCGGGATTATGAATTGAAAGTATGAAGCAGAAAAAATGGACAGGGAACTTGCCTCCTCATCCTTGTACCATGAGATAGACTCAGATGTGAGCACGAACCAGTAGTCTCTTGAGCCACCTTTCATGATGCCCAGGTTGTGGATGCACATCCACCCCTTGCGAATCACCTGTTCAGTTGGTGCACACCAGGGAGAATAGGGTAGACAGAGACCTCCTTTTTAAGAATGTTCTACGAGGTTTCTTCATTGCATTTGTAGCTTGCAATTCTCTGCACTGTTCAACAAAGTTATGCTTGCTGTCAGGAACTAGAAACACTGACGTAAACGAGCCTCCATTAATACTGTTCTTTGTTGCAACTTCTCCACCACTGCAATCTATTGTACAAACATTGAATACTACCTCTTTTCTGAGCGAATTAAAGCTTTTGTTCTAGGCAAGTACGGACAGCCAAGAACAGTTTGCAATTCGAGACAAGCATACTCTCCACTGCAACATTGCCTCAATTGTCCAAGTACGTTAAGCCCAGCTGGTGATTTACATGCGTGAACCATTCCCGTTCTTACGAATCAATAGCCAGCAGTTTTGGGACACGGTGCAATGATTCGTGCAGTGCAAGCTGAACAGCCCTTCTCTTCTAGGTGACTACAGGCAAAGTCAACAGAAGAAACCTTGCATCCCCATTCAACATCTTGCTTTCACGACACAATCATGTTCCCGATTCACATGGTGCAGCTCGGTAAAACCTCTCAACCATCAAGTTCATATTTGCACTATTTAAACTTTTTCACTCCAAGAAATATGCATTAGACCACTCTTCTTTCTGTTACTGTCTCTAGAAAGAACACACAGCTGAGCCTCCAAGCAACTACAACCAGCCCACAACCACAGCCTATGTTTGCCATGCAAAGTAACCCCACCATACTGTGAAGGATAGCAAGCCCTAAGCATTGTGCCTCAAGACTATTTACTTGCACACTCATGCAGGCAAGCAAACTGGCACTCGAAACTGCAAAAGTACTAAATAAAGCCTCGAAGTAATATATAATACAGCAGTTCCCAATATAATGTGCAGCCTAAACCTCCACACCATTTAGACGAGCAAGTTGAAAACATGGGAAAGAACCTGAATAGAAATATTCGTGCAATGTCTATTCCTTTGCTTAAAATAGACTTCAAAAAAAGCAATTTCATGCAAATTATAAGGCAGTATTTTTTTATTCAACAAGGAAGAATCCTTTCTATGCATTAGGGTACTGAGCAAAGTGTGCACATGATTTTTCAAGCTCTAAAATTATGTTGCAAAGTTTTAATTTCAAATGGCAGAAAATATTTTGTCACAGCGGACAACAAAACCAGACCTCCAGATTATTTCCAGCTGGGGTTGTAGAATGTGTGACAAACTTGGATAATAATTCTTTTAATAAAATTGTGTCTTATTTCATAAAAATTATACAAATCTGGCTTACAAAAGCAAAAAATGCTTTGCCTATTAGTACTTACAAATTTCTAATGGCTACTCAAGAAAAATAAAATGCATGAGGAACAATTTTGCATGACAAACTGTTAATCTATGTTATGTTGTTATCTGGTGACTTACAGATAGCCAAGTGATAAAACAAGTCAGCAAAGACCAAAGGTTACTTCACCACACTAATTTTTCGCGCGAATGGACTCTAAACACCGCAATAACACAAAGGTGTGGACAGCGTTAACTAACCAACCTGAACCTTATGCTCATGCACTCATAGTCCCTAATAGGGCACAAAAAAGTGCATAGAAAAAAGCTAGTTTTCTTTTAGTCCCTCGAAATGAGCTTAATATCCTCAGCTAGTTGTTTGAGACACAACGAACTGTACAACCATGCAGTCACTGCTTGGAATAAATCTTTCAAATGCCACCGGTTAGAAAGTTGCTTTCTTTTCCATCGCCGCTATTCTCATGGATCAAAAGCCAAATACCTAGTTAGGAAAAAGTTGGCACTCGGGGAACATACCCTCTTTGGCCACCCGACAGACAATTTCACGTTACATGATTTGAGGGCTTGCTAACTACTCCTTTGTAATATCCAAGGCAGGCTTTAGCACTGATGGTTGGCAGTGTAGGTACAGAAAGGAATAGTGGACATCATCCCTCCACTATATATAGAATTTTTCTGTTTAGTAGATCATTATAAATGAGGTACACTTCACACCCATCAGTACAGACATAAAAACAGACGTGTGTATCAGTAAATGCTTGGCTCTGAAATTAACTCGCAAATGCGTAAACATGGGACGCTCAGTGATTTGGCCAATACCCTGCAAGAGAGCTGCTACAATTTAGTCTACATGAGAAGATGAGAAATGCCCAAGGTTACTGTAAGGGATAAAACCATATGCCAATGCACAAGCAAGAGATCCACTATGGCACCTTTACAATCAGTAAAGGGCCCATAGCGTAAACTCCAATGACATCGTCAAACTAGATGCCTTCATTTAACAGACGAAACATGCGAGGTATTTGCCAAATTTGCGTCGTTGCAAACCAGCGCAATCGGAGAGATGCAGAACTGTAACTTACAGCAAACACCGACTAGGAAACCAAAGAATTTGGAGAAACAAATGCTTGGCAACGTGGCAACCCAATATGCAAAACAAAACAGAAACAATACTTTCTTTAGTCATTCAATATTGCAGCCACGCAAGCGCTTTCCAAAAGTGTGAACACAACTTGGTGGAGTGCAGAAAAAGATGCAGGTGCTGTCTCCAGCTTTTCTATTGTTAGCATGCATTATGTTGTGAGACAGCAAGTCATGCCTGTTTGCTAAGCAGGCACATGAAGCAAACATGCACACATGCAAACAAAAAGCAGAGGATCATGCAAAGTTAGCAAGCGTGCACACCAACTAGACTTATCCACAGAAAGTTAATATATCAATTAAAGAGAGAAACAATGTAAAGATATCCCCAAAAAAGCATACTTCTATGACAAATGTCTTTTTTGCTGTGGTAACTATGTGCTTTCTTAACCTGTTTTGTGTGTCTAGGACCAAACTATCCAGAAAATGCATTTACGAACAGTGTATCAAGAAAATGCAAAAAATATGACAGTGCACAAGTTATTTTTAGACCCATCAGGCCTTTCTAAAAAAAATAGAATGAAAGAAGTGCAGTTTGGGTTATGCAGCAATTAAAATCTGTGCTCAAGAAACCTGTTAAGTAATTACAGTCGAATCTGTTTAATTCGAACTTGAGGGGGACCGAAAAGTTGTTTGAATTAAGCAAAGTTTGAATTACCGGGAGTTTCCTCCCATAGAGACGCATAGAATGGGACCAGCATATCAGTTTGAATTATCCAAAAGTTTGAATTAAGAGAGTTTGAATTAACGAGATTCAACTGTATAGTCACCAGACAGTACACATGCGATTTTGTTAAAATTAGGCCCAAACAAACAGCCCAGAAAGTTTGCTTGGGTGTTTCGAACAAACCCCAAGCTACAGGCTAAGATTACAACGAGACCATACCATGGAATTTACATTATAGCTAAGCTGAAATGAAAACAGAATGCTTCTTGTGGATCTGCCATCAATTTTATGTTATGATCACTTGCTGATAGCCATATTACGAAGTGCTGCTGATGCAAAAATACTCAGCGACGAGGTGTGCAATAGGACAGCAATTTAATGTCAAGAGCCATGCCTCATGCCTTGGCAGACAGCACTAGATGCTCACTTGTGCACACTGATAACTTTGCGAAATTCTAAGCTGTAAGCTCACAGAGCTTATAAAGAACACAATCACTAACAATGTCATTCAATTCCAAATGAACCCATTAAGCTATTATTATAAATCATTAATGCAGTCAGTAACTCACTGCTACCCACAAACCTTCAATGTCTGACAACACATTAGGAACTCTTGCAATGTAGTAATAAAAGTTTTTTGAACAAAGATAGCAACTGAAACATTTGTCATTCCATCAAAATTTGGGTTTCTGTACTGCAGTGATAAGGGATCGAAGAAAGCCTACCTGGTTGCCCAATTTTCTTTTACCGGCCGATGACACATCCGCGGTCTGTTGTGCACTGAGGGAGAAAGAGAGGAACCAGACAGGAACCAATTAGTTACAACTACAACCGAATCACTTGCACCACACAGGTAATAAAATCCAAAATAGAAAAAGATTAACAGAAAAACTAACTTAACAACTTTTGAAACCCCTAAATATATATTAACTGAAATTCCAAAGTTCCTAACCTTTGCCCTTAGCAGCGAGCCACAGACATTGCTGTCAAGTATGAAAGTATGTAAAGACTCCATCATGCTCGACATATCGGACTTTCAACCCTTCCACCAGATACAACTGAGTGCTCGCAGAAAATATTTGAGAGAAAGAGAGAGAGAAAAAGGCTCGAGGTGCACCTAAGCACTTCTTACGAGTTGTGAAAGCAAAAGCATGAATGTCGTTCTTCGCGCCGCGGCCGCACCTGATCCTCTCTGCGCCTTGGCCGTTTCTGCTCCGGTGGGGGCATGCAGCGCCATGGGGTGGTGCTAATTGAAACTGACGCGCAAGGGCTTCATTTCACTGCCGTTTTTTGTGGCTTTCTGCGTGGTTTCAAAGCTGGGATGCCTCAGACCGCGGCTTCAGGAATTTATCCGCTGTTTGGTGCAGCTGATGACGTCTGCTCGCTCCATGAGACAGTTAATGCTTTCGCATTAAAACGTTTGATTCAAACCACTCATGTCTGGGCAGTGGGTGTCACTAGCAGATAGGCCTCCTGCGCTGAAGCTTTGAACGTATCGTGGCGCCCTCCGGTGGTGGGCGACAGAGTGTCTGAATAGTACAAGTCCCGCAGCCCCGCACAATAACCAACCTGTTCGGGCGGCTCTTTACCTCTGCAAGGTGCTGTTATTTGTGCGTTCGTGTGGTCACGACTCAAAATGTGTCACCAGTAGTCGTCACTGCACAACGTTACCCTAGGGACCGGAGCTCGTCGCAAGCTAGTAATGTTTCTTCGTCCAAGCATGTCGAAACCGGGAGCTGGCAGCGCGGCCTTGATGCGTTTGAAACGTCACCGTCGACGGTACTGCTGCGTCGTTAACTGTCAAAAACGAGAAGGTATTAACCCAGGAGTGAACTTCTAAAAATTCCCATCGAAACTGTGCGAAGTCGAGCGGAGGGAACGATACTAGCCACCCAGCGCACCGAGTAAGCGAGATGTAGTGGTTGAAGCTCGAAACTCGAAGTGGTGCCAAAAGCCATGCCGCACGTTCTGGCGTGCCCACGTGATACCGTGTGATAAAACAGATCATGCTTGGATTCGGACGAAGATAGTCGTGTTTGTCTTTGATCCTTGGCGAGCACTCTTTTTTGTTACTACTCAAGTAATTTAGTACAAGTAAATGCAGTAAACAAGAAAAGCTTGACAGAATCTTTGATCCTTAGCGAGGGTTCTCAGGCTTACTGAGAAGATTACACGAGATTTGTTTTTCTCGTCCTCCAGGTTGTCCTGCTAAGGCACGGCCATTCAATTAAGCGGGCGTGGCATTGATCGAAATGCGTGTCATGCGAATTTTACGAACAGGAACATACTGTCCGACCCAGTGGAGCGATCCGATTAAACTACATCGAGCGTGCACGCGCACCAACGCACCACCACAGAAAGCAACAAGCATGTGCTGAAGGCGGAGCTCCTACTGCTGATCTTATGTTGTGTGCTGGTTGCGTGAAGCTTTCAGTGCAGATGTGACGGCCGGTTGACGCACGATCGCTTACGTCTGCTTTCGCGCATTTTCGAGGTTGGTCATCAGCTGATAATGTTGGCTGTATGGAGGGACTGCAGTTTGAAAGTCTTTGCTTACAAGGCGCGTTAACATATCTCGTAATTCCCACTCAAGCTCAACATCATTAGAAGCTCTCTGTTTATGTGAGTGACAGTGCACCGACACCAAATTTGCGGCTTCTTGTACAGTGCAGACTCAGCTTGCATCGCTGAGTTTATTCTCTTTGCAAAGTGTTCAGGAACGAAAGAAGCTTTCCACATTAGAAATTGGCTCGATTCCATGCCGTAAAACGATCACAAAGGGGGAATTCATACCGCCGGCTAACGTTTGGCCGCAGGACAAATTCAAATGTGCAGGTTTGTACTACCCAATACCGATAAACAAATCGTAGGGGGCGCTGCCAGCCGGTTTTTCCGCAGTACCTCCTGGGCAGAGCAGGAGGCCTATAGCAGAATAATTTGCACTATTTCCTTGATAGATGAGTGACTGCTCGCCTAGCAGCACCAAACGCTCCGTCCAAAATGGTAAAATGCTCCGAGCGATTGGCAGAAACTCTGACCGGAGAGTTTAAGACAAGTCTTATTTAAGTTATGTTTAACGTCTTAGAGTCTATTGTCTCAATGTACGACAAGATCAGTGACAGGATAAGCAACAAATTGATGGGACAAGCTTTCCGACTTCAAATAATGAAGTAGCTCCAGTTGGTGAAGATGCCTAAGTTGAGGTGTTTGTGCCACTGTCCAAGAGGTTTAAAGCCACACAGATAATACTACAATATGTAATTCATGATTATTTTAACACAAAAAAAAATTCACATCTTTTTTAAAGTCAAATGCAGGAACAAAGCAAAACCAACAATAGTAGAACTGAAACATCACCTCCTCAATCATCATGAGGTTGCGACATTCAAGACTGAGATTTCGGCTATCATGCTGGTTTGATATTGGCATTTCACCACACAAGCTCACTTTCACTGGCCTATTGCAGAACACACAAGTGAAGTGAGTGTGCTCACATGACGGATCTGACCACTTTGTAAGGTCCGATCCGCAATCTTCCATGCACTCAGAATCTAGTATCAGGTGAAAGGATCGTCAGTTCTTTAAGTAAAACTAATTTGAAATTATAAGCTGTCGACACTAACCTCTTTTTAGATACTGCACCTAACTAGTACTTCTCAGTGTCAGTCATTCCAAACCAAATACCTTCTCTAACAAATACCATAATAGCCTCGTTAAAAAATCCCGAAATACCCTAACAAATACCTTCTTTTATAAACTCTCGAAGTCTGTTACCCCAATTCGAGAAAAACTTAATGCAAACAAAGACTCCCCAAAACCATCACACATGCTGTTACGTGAGCCCACTTAACTCAAAGCCATATTGAACGACACATTCCCCGTTAGTGCGACATTGATTCCCTACCAACCGGCACTAATGAGAGCAAATACACAGATGCAAAGGCCCCCTTTACACTCCGCTTCCCCACAAAACACAAAAACAAGGGCAGCTTGCACACAGAAGCAGACACACTCAAACAAGTGACACACACTCACCCGGAGTGATAATCATCCCTGCGAGAGCAACGTTTAGTTGTGCGCCCAGACACAAACGAAGACGAACACAAGATGAACCGTGAGGAAAAGGAGGGGGAGAGGGAGAAACCAAAAAGGTGAACAAAAACAACCAACTACTACAGTAACAGAGCTAAGAAAGAGCCGAAAGAGAGAAAGAACGCTCTACCCGGAACGCAAGACAAAGTGCCACATGAATTTCGCCAACGAGGCTATGCATAAGCAGGTGCCGTGAGGAACTGTAGAAGCAGGCGGATGAGTGAGCAAGAAAAGAACCAGACAGTATTCAAACAGAACCGAAGGAACTGGAGACATCAAAGAAGCACTGCAACGGAGAAAGTTTTACTAATCCTTTGTGTTCCAACAGATTGCAAGGACCAATCAGACCAGCAGAACCCAGCAACACCCCTTGGGTGCTCTGTATAAATTGAATTGATCTTAGGAAATGACACTGCACATGAAAATGACACCCCACCCTCCTAAAGCATGTGCTCTGAACAAGATAAGGCTCGAGATATTGTAACGTGTTGCACTCTCGAGTCCCAAAAAAAATCAAACGGCTTGGAATTACATATTTCGACTTTGGCCTCGAGACAAGTTTGTATGAAGTTGAAATCAATGCACGAATCGCTGGTAGCCGTAGAAAGCAGAGCACATACATTTAGACTGCAATTTCGTTGCAATGGTCCTTCAGGCAGCCTTTCACCACTCTTTCATATAGATGTATCACTGGGCAACATATTGGGGCTTCAGAAAATATTCACACAAGGAAAAGCACTAACGAATTGTTCCATAAGGACAACTTGGTCCTGGTCAGGCCAAACAACTTCACTCACAAAAAATATATAAAAATGTTGCCCTGAAAGAGAATAGATAGAGAATGCTGTGAGATAATACCTCGACAGAAGAGGGGGACTATCACTGACAGGAGCGAATTTCAAGCTCACCAAACTCATCAGCTGCCATCAGAACTCCCTGAAACCTCAATCGAACAAAGGCTGTGCTCCAAACAAGTACCAGGAAAGACAAATAGAAAGAAAGAAAGTGGAAAGAAAAAGGTGACCAGTGGATCTCAGACAACAGCAGCAAGCATGAAAATGTAATCAAACATGCCCAAGCATCATGCGACACCAACATTTCACTCAGCACTGAAGCTTATAGCTTTCACATTGCAGCTGTAACTGTCATTCTTTATGACACGTTTCTGATAATGATTTCAGAGATGAACACAAAATGGATTGTATGAGTCAGAAGTGCAGTGGGAAAAACTAAAAATTAGTACAATAAAACGGACTAGGTTTTTAAGGAAGTGAAATTATGAGAGTAAAATATGAGAAGTCAGCCCAACAGTTTCATGCCAAAACCTGGATTCAGCGAATTATATTTGATACCGACATGGAAACCCGGGAGCGGGGGAAAAACCGGGACGGCTCTATGTTGCCCGTCTCTTTTTTTCCCCCGCTCCTGGATTACCAGGTCAGTAGTGAATCGGCTTGCCTGCAAAGTTGCTTTAGTTCCTATATTTATGTGTAAAGAGAGAGGAACAATGCTCATAACAAATCCCTCTCCAATAACTGTGTGCCAATGTTCCTTTGCACAGTCTACTTAAAAACAAGATTATTCGCACTTGAAATACAGTGTTTCAGCTAAGTGAGGTGGTCAGTTGGGACAGTTGGTACTGATTGAACATTGTTAAAGTTGGGCACAAAAAGACGTGAATAGAGGAGAAAAAGACGTAGATGACAGACAAGCGCACTCTCACAACTCACACGTGCAGGAAGGAAGGAGAGAAAGAAGCACAAACTGTGGAACTGGCTCGAGCAACGGCCACACGGGCAGAAGGATGCAAGCAGTTCATACTTCTTTTTTCTTATACATGCGGGTTGTGAGGGTGCGCTTGTCTGTCGTTTAGTCTTTTTGTGCACAACTTTAGATATGTTTCACCTAACTAGTGCCAAGACTTAAAAAAGCTGGTGCACGCCATGCATGTCGAAACAATGCAGTATTGTTCAGAGTACAATTGAACCTCAATTTAATGAAACCCGATTTTACAAGTTTCCCGATTTAACGAACAAATTCGGATTCCCCGCGCAGCCTATCCCGGAGAATGTCTTTCTCGACTTTACGAAGTTCCCGATTTAACGAAATAATTAGGGGGTCCCGGTGACTTCGCTAAATCGAGGTTCAACTGTACTATTGAGCAAGTCGAGATATTTCTTGCGATGTGCCAAACTCACTAATTAACAAAGATTAATTAGCCAACCTTTTAAAATGTGAATTTGTGCGAAACCATTCAACCCAAAAATTGTAGGGCACATTGAGAAACATCCCATCATGTTGTTTCCGCCAAGGTAGCCTTCGTATGCCTAATTTTTTCAAGAGCGCAACATCTTTAAAGGGATAGTTATACGAAATATGAAATATACCTGCCGTGTTCAGAAATAGGTTGATTATGACCCAGAATATCCTTAAATAAGAATCGCACGTTTGTATTTTGAGCCTGATGGCTGTATTTTTCGTTATAAATGGCCCACTCTGGCAAACGCTCAGAGAGCAGCCAGCGGAGAGCACTTCACATGTGACGTAGTTTGTCTCGGGACTTTATGTCCGCACACAGCAGACGCTGCGAGCTATCCCAGCCAATCCTGCTCTGCGCACATAGCCCGTGATATGCTTTCTGCACGTCGCTGTGCCCCCTCTCTAAGGTCACGTGACATTCACACAGCCTTGGATGCCCCGATGGCTCATAGCATCCCCTGAAAGCAGCCAAAGTGCCTTTGTACGAATTTTGAGTGACACGCTAATCTTCTATAATCTTGTAGAGGGACAATAGCAACTTCTGGGACACACAAAACAGAGTCTCAAGGAGAGGGGAGTTCCTCCTTCAGCTTTCCTTTTGTCATGGGCCCGAGGCGAGGCAGTGATCCTCACTACCTGTCAAGGTTCCAAGACGGCCATTAAAAACGAGGCGTTAGCGACATCCCCCAGGTGCTCTTCACTAATCGTTTGTTTTAAAATTCCTTTTAGAGTCTTTTTTCACAAGAGATTGCTGTGTTCGATGTGATAATGCTCCCTTGAACACGAATAGACCAAGAAATAAGCGTTGAAATTTCATTGTAGCATCCCTTTAACAATCCCCCGTGACTAAAGGTACTAAAATGGCAGTCTGCTAGCGGGTAGTCAAGAGAGATTTTTTCTGAATCCCTCACGAGATGTTTTAGCTTTTTTTAAAGCTCGAAAACACTAGACACGCAAAGGTTACCTTTATGGAAATGACACGATGGGATGTCTCCCAACACGCTCGACAACTTTTGTATTGGAGAGTGTGGGCACAAATAATTATTTGAAAGGTTAGCTAATTAATCTTCAGTAATTATCCAATATGACACATGACAAAAACTACCTTGACCTGCTCAATAGAACTGTGAACAATACTGTGTTGGTTTAACATGCGTGGCATGCACCAGCTTTTCTTTTGAAGTCTTGGCACAAGACAGCTGAAACAGCCTCTATAACACACATTTACTTAGACTTCAAAACGCTGTTATGCTGTCCTTTTGTTTGTTTGTTTGTTTACTTTCTCTTGGGGGGGGGGGGTTATAAATGTGAATGCTCATTAGCTAGGTTGCCCTATTATGCTCATATCAGTATGGCTAGTTATCTAACTCCAAAAACTTCAGAAACTGTTCAGTATAAGAGCAAAAAGATGTTTTTAACGTTTTTGGTGCAGGTCTCAGTTTTTTTATTTAAAATTCGGTGTTCTCCGCGGATATCTACGGGCATGCAGGCAGTAAGTTCCTCAACGTATATCTCTGAAGCAAGAAGTTACGGGTCCAACCTGAGAAAGCACAGCTGAGGTGATGGAGCACACTGAAGGTGCCCATTGAAAAATTTTCAAATACATTTAATCTGCCTGCGGAACTTAGTTACTTCAAGATAAAATCATATTAGACTAAGTCTATTAATCCACTAAATCACTCGCTTATGAAAACCACATTACGCCACAGCGACATTGTGAACTCGCCCGGATCTCGACGTGCCGAAAGTGTAAGTGTGGTGCATCCAACTACCGGATAACTGGCAACCGTCATGCCCCATTCCAAGTTCGTATGCAAAACAAGAACTTACCTAACCCTTCACAAACAAAGGAGAACATAGAAATTATTTAGTTATGATGACACACTCGGGCAACAAGCATGCAACAAAGAGTGTGCCGATAGACCGATCTCGCAGCTAGTTAGAGTATGCCACCGCTGCCGACATGCCTCGTGGGAGCTGTAGTCTTTCCGCACGCGCGACAACCCTGCTGGAGGTCTGCACGAGCAGAGCACGAGGCCGCATGAGCTATCTCGTGAACTGGCGTCTGCCTCCTACGAACTACAGTTAGGGCGGCGTCACGCATGCGTGGAACGCTTGGTGAGATCGGTCTATTGCCAAACAGGCAATCGGCACAGCCAAATCCCTGAAGAAAGTAGTTTGCACCTGCACATTTTTAAATAGTACAGAAGCCATATGCATTCACATCTGTTTTGTCAACAAAAAGGGATAAACTGACAGGCAATGAGCTGTTTGTCAAGTTAAACAGCCATGTTCACCAGACAACTTGCATTCCCCATGGCCTTACTGCACAGGCACAGTGCTAGGCACATGGAAATGTCTTGCACGCCACACAATACATAAGCAAAAAGCACACCAAAATTACTCTCCCGCTCTGAACGTAGCCCGTTTTCATGAACCCTTGCGAGCAAAGCGAAGCATAACGGCAATCTGAATGACAATTCTTACGTTCCGAGGCAACCCCCAAATACAGCAAAACTTCTTGCCTCAGCTCGAGAGACATACTTTCTCGAGTGCGGGCAGGTATTCAGACACCATATTAGCTGGTAGGCTACTGCTCATAACAAAAACGTCTACACGAAAAGCCAGTCAAAAAGTCTACCAAAGGGAACACTCCCTCCCGCACTTTAATAATCTTAACTTATGCAAAAAAAGATAAAAATTGACCAGCTAATTACATATTTTACCACAAAACTTTAACAGCACAAAAAGAGGCAAAGTATGGCTGGAAAAAGCTCTAGAATGAAACTAGCACCATATTTCCCAAACTAAAGTAAGCACCCGGTGTATAGTCTGCAAGGGCAAATTTGGGGTCCAAGATAAAGGTTCTTGTTTGGATAGTCTGCATGCTGCGCATGGTCCACACTTAGCACCTAAACTGAACATAAAAATCATTCTACACAGCACACATTGGCAAATATATGCTGTATTAGCTCACAAAGAAGCCTGTATCATACATAAATCAACATTAATATAGTACCTTGTTATTCATAACATCTTTTACAACCTATCACAGTGAACGATCTAGAAGAAAAAAAAAAATCCTCGTATGTTTGCACCTGTAGAGTCTGCACCGGGTAAAATTTTAACTTTTTAAACATGTATAGTTTACAGACTATAGTCCGTAAAATATGAAACTAGACGCCCCCCCTCATTGCAATAGCCAGCCCAGTGCGACCCCGCGCAGAATGCGGAACGATTCTAGATGGCAAGCAAGCAAGACAAGGACGAGAGACGTGGGGTGCACGCACTTGGTGAATCCAATGAAGTCTTCGTGGTTGGTGTTCATGTACGCCAACTCCACCTCGACGAGCAGCGAAATCTGGTGCTTGGCTGTGTTCTCTCGCTCCCGCACGTGCGAGGTGATTATGCGCTCCGTCTCTTCGCGCAACCGCGGGTAGCGGCTCATCTGCACAGAGACGCAGACGAGTCAGCTCTGACAAAGTGTACATCGCAAGGTCGAACGGGTCGTACCTGGGATGGCGTAACGCTCACTTCGAACAGTGCCCAAGTCGATGCTTAGTTCGATCCAAAGAGAATCACCTGTTTGCACCAAAACTTGGTCGGCACTTCTAGGTGCTAAAACCAGAAATATTCTATTTTAAAAATTATCTCAGAGTTGATTAGGCTTGCATTGTTTCGTGCTAATTTCTTCTATGTGCTACGATCACAAAGTTAAGACTTTCGAAATCACCTCAGTGCAAGTCAAAATCACCTCAGAGACGTCACATTTTCAAATCTTATGGGGCACCCAAGTACTTTTCGCAGACACTTGTTTTGATGGCACACTGTTTGTTTCGCTTTAATCTACAGAAATGACCAGTTCCAGATGGCAAGACGTTGCAGTAAACTCACGGCAATAGAAATACACGGGTACTACTTTCTTTTGAGGGGGCCATCCGCGGGTCCCCACCACCACCATAAAATTTGATCAACGAAAATAGTTAATTGCGTGGAGATTCCGAACATTACTATTATTGCCCTCTTTGGGCGCATTGTGCATTAGATTTTTGCAAAAACATATTATCTTTGGGTGTAGGAGATGCAATACGGCAATTAGTTTGAAAACGGTGCCCAACAACACCACCTGGCATCTGCTCCAGGGTTCAGAAAGAGGGGCATGTCACACTCTTCGATTGAATTTTGAACAAGGAAATCGGCCGCCCATGAGTGCTGTTTCGGGTTTCTTAGGATGCTTAGAGCCCATTGATTGAGTTAAGATTATAAATAAACGATCTCAGAATCCACTTGAGTACGCCTTTAACAAATGCAACGCCGATACTCCAAGTCATCAAATTGGGTTCCCCAGAGTTCGATAGCGGCTTTTCCGAACTCCCGAATTTCCTCAATCGCCCAGAAGTGAAGTGTCCTTTTAGTCACTATTTCAGCAGATCTGAGTCACCCATTGATGCGTAACCATTAGCCAAACACTCCCTGGTATTATTGTCTACAAGGTCTTTAGGCCTCTGCACCGCATAACTGCACAAAGAAGGTAGGAATTCCTCGAAATAAAAAAAGTTTGAGAGCCCCTTCTCTAAACGCAACTTGTTCACTAGGTCCACAGTACACCGAAGAGGCCCCACCAACGCCTCCGGGCATTGCGGGGAAAGCCGCCGCAAGGTGCAGTCTCCCGCCGAGAGAGGGCGGGGGCGGAGCAGTCACCTTTTCGGCGCAGCGCCGTACAACGTTTCCGAGTTCCGCCACCACGAGGTCCACGCATTTGATGGAGGGCTCCTTCAGCTTGGCGATCTGCTTCTTCACTATGGCCTCGAAGGCCATATCTGGAGTAAACAGCCCGACCCGAATACCGTGTGTGTTGCGGATCGCAAACGCTATCTCCTTCCGAAGCTCCTTCTCGTCGAATTCCATCTGCAGAAAAACCGAGAATCCGGCATCCGCATTAAACTGCGCCAACATTTCGTAGCAGACGGTTGCCGCATCGATGCATATATTGCCCTCCATGAACCCTATGCAACATCAGTAGAAGCAAAGAGAAACTAGGCATGGGAAGCCCGAAGAAACTGAAAACGTTTGCAGCGGCAATTTGAGGTTTTTTCACTAAAAACTAACGACTTCAATGTATTGCACTACAGTCACCGAGAGGGTGAGAAGGACAAGGCATCTCCTTCGAATTCCCGGTCTCCAACACGCGCTCATTGCCTTCTGTTGTGCTTTCACGGCACACACACTCGAAGCTCACGACACACAGAAGTATTATCGAAGGCAGAAAGCTCACGCTGGAGGCGGGACAAATGAAGGACTTCCCTGCTGCTCTCGTCCCATCAGCGACTACACATACAGAATTAAACAGAGAGGATTTTAGGACAAGAAAGTCACTAGAAATGGCAAGATTGCTTTACGTCAGGACAAACTGTAGTCTGGAGACCTTTGTCTTATTTAAGGTTGCTGAACTGCGCAGACGCACCTTGACAATTTCGAAGGGAAATCTCTCGTGGAAGAGTCGGTTGATGCGTGCACCTCCCGAGAGTTCGGACGTGTTGATAGCTGCCGATCCGGAACCTTCAATGTTCCTCTCAAAATCTGTCTGCAGCTGCTGGATCATCCTGCACGAGTTAGGTTTGTTTTGCAGTCTCGTTTAGCTTCAAGGCCACACAACAAATTTGTACAAGGGCACCGATGTGACTCGACAAACTTTTCAATCCGGCCTGGTCTCTGCACTTCAAAACTTGAAAAAGTACACAAGGGAACCCAGTTTTATACAGGAAGGAGAGAAAGGCATCAGACACGCAACACAACCTCCTTCAGTTTGCACCGGATACAAAAGCCCCAACGAATGTAAAAGGGGCTAAGTCTCACCCCGTACCCTAATTGTCTTCAAACTCGTGCCATCCAATGCCGCTTACTTGTGCCAAAATGATCCTACAGCATGCTATTATGAAATAGGAACACTGCAATATATAACAAACCAACTATAAATAATAAAGTTTCAATGTAATGACCCACAGTTAATGACTAAGAGAAAATGCAAATCGAAAAATGAAAAATTTTTTAAAACAATGTGATTTGGGGTTTTACAAGATTAATAATATGGGCTTGCTATTATCGCGAAACGAATCAGATATGCATTTGAAGAACTCCCAGCAACCCAGAACGGCATAAACTTGAGCCATTTTAGTGTCCACAGTTCTCCCGATTGTGGCGTTGAGTGCCATCCCGTTAATGCTGAGAAGCCAGGCCTAACCTTCTCCTCTCCATCGCAGCCCTTTGAAGCTTCAATTTCTCGCAAAAAGTTATTAACAAATAATTATTTTTACCACCATGGCAAAGGAGTGTCGCCACAGATCTATGGCAACATTCCAATGAGTTTTTTCTCTTTATGTATTTTGGAACATCTTCACAGTTTGCACACAAGAACTTTTGTTCTTAAAGGGACACTGACAGGGTATTTAAGCTTGCCAAGGTTTTTATTTGTACATGACAGATGAGTGCCCAACTACCCAGAACACAATTTGCAACTCTAAATTAGTTTTCTTTCTGCCTGAAAACCGCCGATTAAGAAATAGCCGGTTTGAGTCACGCTCACTCTCTTCTCCGCGGTCACGGGCAGTCTTCTATGGTTTAGACCCAACCACCAAACATAATCAAATTCAAGGGTAATCAAAGGCACACGCTAAATATTAAAAATAGCAAAAGAAGTATGATGCCCATTTTTTGTGGTTTCTAAGAAAACTGGAAATACATTGATTGAAAAAAAAAAAAAAAAAAGTTGCACGTCCACATGACTTTTGGCAACCCACTCTCCCCTATCTATTCCTTCTTCCTCCCCAATCCAGTTTCAGTATCTGTCAGTTTTTTTTACTTTATTAAAAATATATGCAACACTGTAGCAAAATATTGATTAGGTTGCCTTCTCACACCATGTTAAATCGCCTGGCAAAAAAATTAAAAACTTTTTTTTTTTGGGGGGTGTGTTAGTGTTTTTTTTAAAGGGCAACTCCAGTCAAAAACTAAACCAAAATAAATGACTGCTATCGCTTTAGTGTCACGAAATATGATCACGGCCGAAATATTACGTCAAAGTGAAGCTGCGTACTCCACTAAAACCAATTTTAAAGATGCGAACAGCTGCTCTTTCGCAGACAGTGAGCGGGTTAGTGTTTAGTCGAGGAACACTGGCGCCGCACCCCTGTGACGTCGTATCTCGGTGGAGCTGCGGTTGAATGATAGTACCCCATACTGCAGCACCAGCGTGACGTCACGTCGTAACCATACGGTTGATGATCAGTGCTGCCATCCCTCTAGCAGATGGTTTCGGTTTTGCCGTAGGTACCCGAAACCAAACTTTGAGCCGTGATATTTATAAAACTACACACTATATTGAAAAAAAAAAATACCTCGACATTCAGGGACACTGCCTTAGCCAAAAACAGTCGTAATCCCAAATTAAAAAATATTGACCAAAGTTGCCCTTGAATATTGGCCTATAACAACCAAACTTGGCATACATATGCTTTAGAATATCTAGAATGTCACTGTCAAGGTTTGGATAGAATGTATATACTTTGTGTTTATGAAAAATGTAAGGAACTTCTGTTAGCCCTTTGAAAAAGGTGTTTTTGCAATTTTTATTTTTAAAACAAGATAGGCCTTGCACTCAGCATGACTCGGAGTGAATTTGTTTTGCACTGAGAGTGAATTAGTTTATTTTACTAGGTCCTTTTAGGTGTGTTGTCTTCCCCACATGTGTGCAAGAATATGGTTCTCTCTGCAAGCGCACAGCATCCAGAACATAAAACACAAGCTATAGACGCTTTCAGGCAACTGTGCATGGGCGCCGCCATAACCGACCTTCAGTTTTTGTTCCCTCTTATTCCGTTCGCTCTACTTCATAATTACCACAGCAGGAGAGGTTATTGCCATTTTAGATGCTACTGTGTCCTTCTCCGCAGCAGAGGCCTTTGTGGAGGCTCGTCAACGCTCGCTTCAGTGGCTCAGCATCTCAGTATGACAAGAGAAGGTCGGCTATGGCGGCTGAATCTGGCGCGTGTTGAAAGCGTCTATATCAAAACTAACACCAGATTCGTAAAAAGGAGATCAAGCACTATAAACTGTAAAACTTTCCACTGGCACATGTCCCTTTAAAGCGAACTTACCCTACCCCATTTTCCTTCAGCAGCATGTCTAGTGTCGCCCTACAACACAAGTAAAGCCCAGTCCCCAAGGCAAAGCACCTGAGCAGCATTTTTCTGTACATGATACCATTTAAGGGGAGCAAAAAGAAGAGGGAGGAGGAGATGCAGAGAGAAAGACGAGCGTCCTCACTGCAGCATCGCCTTGGTCTTGCGCGAGGGGTCGTCTGGGCGGAAGTTCTTGTACTCCTCCACTTCCTTCTCCATGGAGATGAGCTGCTTCTGCAACTTGTCCCTGAGCCCGGGTAAGGTGTCCCTGATGTGGTTCGTTAGCTGTTGGTTCAGCACCCGCTGAAGGTACGGTGTGCCCATGCGGTCTGCCATGTGCCTGCAGCGTCCCGTCAAGCAACCGGGTGAGTAAGTGGCAGCATGGCCCCAACACTGCCTTTTTGGTCACAATGAGGCGGTTCACCATCCTCGATTGCAAGCATTCTGGTACTGCCAGACTGGGAGAGAACAAAACTCCATGCTAACAATAAAGCTAAGACCGTGCCGATTAATGGGCGAGTTGATGCTGAATTTGAGAATACACGGTAAATTTGAGATTACATGGTAGCACTCAAAGACAAGAAAAAAAGAAGACAACTAGTGCACAGTGGTGTCCAGTTTTCCTCCTTTTTCTTCTTGTCTTCGAGCGCTGCCACGTCTAAGGAGAGCAGACATTGTATTATTTACGAGCACGTCGCCGAAACTCTGTTTAAGCAATCCGGAAGAAGCAGGCATACGTACCTATACGAGGGATGGCTGAGAAAAAACTTTCGTTCTGCTTCCAGGGCTGCCCTGATGTCTTTCTTGCCCTCAATGTCCTTCTGGCTCCTGTTCACCACACCCACATAGCCTAGCAAGTGTGAAAGAGCTCGTAAGACACAAGAGGCCGGCTGCCAGGCGTGGCAAATCAGAGATGCCTCCGGGCTCCCTTCCATGCCGAAATTGCAGCCCATGGCTACGTGCATAGAGTCTTGCAAATAAGCAATGATGAATTGCTCCACATAAGTTTAAAGAGGGCATGATTGGAAAATATTGTTTGTCTTCATAAATGGCAAAATAATGAAGTTGATTTTGCAAAATTGATACAGCTTCTTTCTGAACTGGCAGAAAGCAAAAGCTTGGAGCATAATATCAACACGAATTTTGCAATCCCATAAACACAATTTTGACTGGATCGAAACTAAGCAACTGATAACCCTGAGGCACCGAATGCCTTACATCTGCGACATTTTATAAAAACAAATGTTTCAGAACGGCTCGACAACTTCAACGACTGACAGTGCACAAATAGAGAAACCATGAGTGCTTTCTTCTTGTGCAGTATAGCCAGTAGTTTAATCGCAGTTTTAATCTGCTGCATCGACTCTAACGAAAGAACTCTCACCTCTCCTGAGAGGGAGAAGCTTGTTCTCCAAGATGTCCTTGGCATCTGTACCCTCATCCATGAGGTCCAGTTTCGTGATGACCCCAATAGTGCGTAGACCTAAAAAGAAGACACGAGAAAACAACCTAATTTGAACCGATTCAGGGGAAGAGGATGAAACATACTCTTTGGTAAAAGGTATGGACGCTTCTAAATCATTATGGAGTACACACGTATGACCTATCACCGTGTTGAGGAAGCCATAAATTCTAGAGCAGAGATTGCTCCAGAGCTTTCATGACTTCCAAAAAAAGAGCCAACGTATGTATGAAACCTTGTGTCCAGAGTGGAGCTGTGACGACTTAATAACTACCAAAACCAGCTAAACCAGACACTTATGACACACAAATTGGCAGGCATCTAAGCAAATTCAAGCTGCATTTCTGAAAGACTTGCTCAATCATGTTGGCAAATTGAATTGAAAACATGGTCATGCCTCAATACAAAAAAAGCATTTCTTACTTGCTCACCATAAATATTGAGACTAAAACTAAACCAGTTACGGCTAAAACATTTCCATTCATCAATGTTGAGAGTTCTGAACGTCCTACAGAGAAATTACAAGTCACTGCTACAACAAATCCACAGCCAAACTATGAACATCTCATTATTAGGAACATGTCTACCCAGCAGTATTATTAATTTAAAAAAACCACCACACAGCAAAAACATTTCATGAACTGTAGTTAGTACAAATGGAGGCCTCACACTGGGTGCACTGCAAGATCTACTGCAACACAGCCACACTCAACACACACACATGCGACTAACACCAAATGCCTCCAAAACGTTTCAAGAATCTCTGCTACTGAATTACCACAACGGACAAAAATTTTTTTTCAATTCAAAACCCACATTCGAATCTAAAATGGGCCGGACGTCAGCAAAACCATTCCAACTCCACTAAAAAGAACAAGAAACTAAAAGAAACAGGCTGTCTTATTTCTTAATTGCAGACGAAAGCAGGGTTACTGTACCGACGCTGCTGCACACCATTCCACGTATAAAACAATGTTCTCACTCCACCCGCTGCGTCACACCATGCCTTCCCTCTAACCTGGCGGATCAACCTCCAGGGCCAGCTTTAGCGCATCCGACGTGGCGAGATCCTGATTGGCCGGCGTGACGGCCAATAGGATTGTGTTATCCCGCGAGGCGTAGCTTAGGACCAGATCTCGCACCCGTGCCTCCACGTCCGGGGGCTGACTTCCCACAGGGACCTTGGTCAGCCCCGGCAGGTCGATCATGGTCAGGTTCAGAACTGGCAGACGACGGGCGTCCCCAGAGAGAGAGAGAAGGAGAGAGAGAGGTCAAATAGAGGTAGAGGAGGTACCTTCGGGGTCCATCTCCTTGGCAAGTTTGAGGGCGTCAGACGTGGCGAGGTCCTGATTGGCCGAGGTGACGGCCAGGATAAGGCAGTTCTCCTTACAGATGAACTGCAGGATCATGTCTCGGATCTGTTTCTCAATGTCTGCGGGCTGGTCACCGACGGGGACCTTGGTCAACCCCGGGAGGTCGACCAGGGTCAGGTTCAGCACTGGGAGAGGGGGAGGAAGGAGAGCAGGACGGGAAAGGGGGAGGAGGTTAGTGGGCGGCAGAGGGTATTTAGTGGGAGGTTGGAGCAGCATGGAGAGTAAGCTACACTCAACGTGTCATCCACAAATGAAAGAGAGGCATCATTGGCCACAGGCAACTTTCTAAGCTCATGCAGTTTTGTGAATAGTAGTCTGCTTTTTGCTAGGAATGTCCCTGTCTAAAAAAAAAGACACTATGTTGCAGTCTGCTTGCAAGACTGCCACAGCAAAAGGAGCCACATCCGGGCATCAACAAAAATATTTGAAACAAAAAGTAAAAAATGTAAGTTTACGGAAATTGACTTTTAATCAAAACTGTTGCTATCAAATAGCATCTCGTGAGCAAGACTATGTAATATCTCTCCGAAATACTGAAAATCAATTCTAAAATTCATGTGCCCAACACTGGTAGCTGCTTTACCGGTAACGCTAAGCAGGAGCAGTGCAAGAGCCGCATGCAATGCAACAAGGTGTAGGCCGATTCCTATGCAACACTTTAAATAGTGATGTAGGTGCTAGCATACGACTGCCAGAGTCTTGCTCTGTGTTGCTGTTTGCTTTTACCTATAGCATATGCATGCATGATGACAGAAGGGGATTCATTCTTTTTACCACAAGAAAGAGAAGTGCAGTAGTGTTACTTCGCTTCCATTTCTTCTGGTGGAAAGTATGAATTCTCTTCATCACCGTGCATGCATAAATTATGATGACTTCAGGATTAGGCTAGCAGACTTTTCTCCGGTTGCTCGACACCTGAATGCTATGAAGACAGCGTGCGAATAGGGAAATTGTTATGCCTAACCCCAGCTAAGTGCCATCATGTGTCAGTTCAAGAAATACTGAACAAGCCTAAATATATAAGAAAAAAAATTGTTTGCACCACTACCCCTTGGGTGTTGTGCCCTATCACTTTAAAAATCGTGAAAATTAATTTCACTAAAATCAGCTGTCACTGCATTTCAGAAAATACATTTTGTTGAATATGTGCAAAAAGAAAAATGAACTTCTATACACTAGTCAGAAAATCGATCATATAGTGTCTGTCATGGAAGCATAAGTCTACCAGCATGCAGGGTGCATGAAGCTTTGTCATCAAAGAATGAAACACAAAAAATAAAACTGCTACATACTGCATGCGAATTGATTTTTGCACGCTCAATATTTTGTGAACTTCGCAAAGTGAGAACATTTCGCCATAGAGAAGGGCACGCTAATGCCTTCGTTTCCATGTGGTGATGTAGCCACATGGTAGGGTGTTTTGTAATACCTTTAATTTACAAATTTTGCGAAAATTAGGTACCCGCAAAAATTAACTTGTTTACCTAAAAACTTTGGAAGGAAAAAATGACTTGCAAGAATTAAAAATAGCATTTAATTGAAGTCCGTGGTTCTTATAAGTGGAAGAACCAGGTAAGCAGAGTCAATAACAATAAATGACTTGAAAAAAAAATTAAAATAACACAAGAAAACAAGAAAGAGATCACGGTAGGGTCTTACCGTGTGGGGAGTAGACCCTGAGGTTGATGGGCACACTCGAAATGCCCTTGTTGCTGCCTGTCACCCGGTCCGTCTCATCTTCGATCTCTTTACGAATCTGATCGAAGTCCATGAATTTCTTTCCTCGACAGTGTAGGAATTCGCCATATTCTGCAAGAAACAATCACCACAAGTTCATTAGCTACAAATATTTAGACAAAAGTGGGATCAAAAGCGAAACAGAAGAAGGGGGACGTCGACGGACACGTAAGGGCACAAATGCCCCGTCGTCGCACCCCCCCTACACATAGCTTGCACTGCTGTCACTTGTTCAGACTCAATGGTGGAAAGGGCGCGCGAGAGTGTAGCTTCTGCCACGGTGAAGGGGACGCTTCGGGCCACCAGAAAGAGGGGCGAACTGATGTCATGTGCAAGCCATGTATATGTTTTGCTTTCACTCTCTTCATCATTACTTATGAATAAAAATTAAACATGATGCCAAAGCACACACCATGGACTCCCTCATGTAAGCCTGTTTTTGGCAACAGAGGACATTAACCCTGAAAACGGCAGAAACAACAAAGTTTTGGCTAGCCTCTCTGCCTCACGATAGCAAGTATAGACGCTTTCAGGCAGCTGTGCATGGGCGCCACCATAACCGACCTTCAGATTTTGTTTCTTCTTGTTCCGTTCGCTTCACTTCTTCATTACCATAGCCGGACAGGTTATTGCCACTTTAGGTGCCCACTGTGTCCTCTCCAGCACACGCCTTCGTGGAGGCTCATCAACACTTGCTTCAGTGGCTCGCCCTCTCGGTGAGACAAGAGAAGGTCGGCAATGGCGGCTCAATCTGGCGAGTATTTAAAGCCTCTATGGGCAACAAGGACGAATAGGCGGGTTTTTGAAAGGCGTAATCTGCCGCAGTAATGACACTTCGTAAAATAATTCCGTTACGTAAGAAGCAGGGGGGGAGCTGGCGTCCACACAACATGATAATTCAATGTGCAAATTAGGAGGTTAAAACCTCCCAAATTCAGATCAGTATCCCCATTATAGGAACTGTCGGGATATGAGATGTCATCTGTTCTATTAAACCCTCGAAGGCTGCCTCTAACGGCAACAGAATCTTATCCCAGGTGCGTGCCGCATCTTACCTGTGTTGCAGTTGATCAGTTGCAGCACGAGTGGTCGTCGGGTGACAATACCAGAGCCTCTCGGTAGAAAGTCCCTGAAACACGAGTCACCATTCGTCAACTGCGCATCAAAGCTCACTCAAAATCTCAGGCATGTCTTTTTTAACCCTCTTCAGGTACCTGTACTTCCCACAGCAAAAGAGGCTTCAAGACTAATTGTACTACCCCCATAATCACTAGACCCCAATTCAAGAAAACCAACTACAGGTGAGCACACGAAAACAAAGTCATTGACACGTATCCACATTAGAAAGCTGGATTGAGGCCACAATCCCATGTATAAATTCTTGAGAGCAATATTACTGCTCTAGATGACAGAGGAATACTATAAGCCAGTGATTCTTAAGCATCAATGTGTCAGGGACCCCTTGGGGACATGCCAAGGTGATGGGGGATCCCATGCCAGTAGAGGAAGGGGAAGAGGGAGGGGTGGGTATAAAGTGAGACCACTAATTGCAGTGTGAAAAGAGCATCCTTTACTGTTATGAAACGAAATGAGAAGCATCAAGTAAAAGGATAAATGGATGGATAGATGGTAGTGGCTGTACTCTAAAACAGGTGGTAGCTTTCGCTACCCAACCAAGCTAAAAAAAAAAGAATTCATAAAACAAAATGAGAGTGAGGCTTGAGGCGAGAGCTTCACGGACCCCGAAAATGACTTCACGGATCCCAGCGGGTCCTCAGGACCCCATTCGAGAGCCACTGCCATAAGCCTTCGCAGGCAACTGAGACAAACATGTTAACGATCCTTTTCTTTATGGCACCCTGTACTTTGCCACGCTTTGAGCGCAGGCTCAGTTTTAGAGCGCAGCTCTGAGGCGCCCGTTTCCGGCTTGAGCGGCGTCGGCGTAACCGCGCGGTGCATTATGGGTAAATTTCCCCGCAAAATCTAGCGGAAAAATTTCGCTGCTAAATCTAGCAAAAAAAATTTCGCCACTAAATCTAGCGAAAAAAATTTCGCCACTAAATCTAGCGAAAAAAATTTCGCCGCTAAATATAGCGGAAAAATTTCCCCGCTAAATCTAGCAGAAAAATTTCCCCGCAAAAAATTTCACGAAAAAATTTCCCCGCTAAAAAAAATTTAGCGAAAAAATTTCCCTGCTAAATCTAGCGGAAAATTTTCCCGCTAGATTTAGCGGAAAAATTTCCCCGCTAAATGTAGCGGAAAAATTTCTCTGGGGGGTCAGGTGACCTGGGGGTTCACGTGACCCCCTGAGATCACATGACACCCCCAGGTCACGTGACCCCCCCCTGTGATTTTGGGGAGGGGGTCACGTGACCTTTGTGGCCTTGGCTCCTCCTCCTCAAGGGCTGTGCTCTAATTCGGCGTTACAGGGAGTTTTTTATTGCAATTATTATAAGAAACCATATCTTACCCAACATCCTAAAACGTTTCAATCAAATGCTGGACTGTCAGAATATCTGACATTTCACTCGACAACATCAAGCCAAGCAGCGTTGGCATTTACGACGAAACATTACGATACCCTATAGGCCGGTTCACACACTTTGTGGCTGCTCAGAACCGTGTGCTCTAAAACCTCTCACGACAAGGGAGCACACCGACGCCATCTGTCAGACAGCTGTGGAATGCTCGGTTTCTGTATACCGTATTTTTGCGGTGTATAAGACACACCTGTGTAGAAAACACCAGTGTAGAAAACACACCTGTGTATAAAGACGCACCCCCCCCCCCCCCCCTTTTCGCAAGTTTCTAAGTAAAAATTAGTATATAAAACGCACCGTCGAAAATTATAGAAAGAATGTGCGCCTCATGTATGAGACTCATCGTTGTATAAGACGCACCCCCCCCCCCCCCTTTTTCGCAAGTCTTCTACACAGGAAAATACGGTATTTCTTTTTCACTACCATCGTTCTTCCTTTTTTGGCTCGAAAAGCTTTTGAGAAAGTTATAAACAACCATTTCTTATAGATATTATGTACATCTGATCACACAAATACTGCACAACCTTTGCTCAAATCAAATGCAGTTGCGGGGTCACCTCACAGATGGCGCCACCATGTCCTCTCGTCGCGAGACATTGAAAGAGCTCGGTTCTAGAGTGTCCGAAGCAAATGAAAGTCTGCGAAAGGGCCTTATAGATTGTTTCCCAGCTGCTGCATGTAAGAGGCAAACACGAAGAAGAGCGAAACCAAACAATGGTCGACCAGAAAGGAGGGAAGAAAGACTATTTTACTGCCGCAGAGCAGGAGGGTGGAAACCTCATAGTTAGCTGTTCTCCTGGCAAAATGTGCACGAAGATTGCATGACTCAGAACTCCAGCCCATTTGCTATCAAGCAAAAGGACCTTTAAATGACCTTTAGGTCACAAACATGGAAGCAGCAGCACCGCTACACTTTCGTAAAGGTCAAAGCATGCTGGATGCAAGACACTTTATCTCCAACCTATTCCGTAGGATGTATGGAAATTGCTTTGTGCATTTCTCCTACAATAACTGCTTCAGAAGGCCAGTTGAATGTATAAATTAATATAGCGTCAAATTGTATTTTACGAAATATGAACCGCCTCAGAAATTATGAGAGCATACAGGCAAGCTGGGGAACTTCCAATATTTTACAAACTCAAGAACTTTTCTGTTCTTGTGTCTTGGGTATCCATGATTGAGACAAATTTTGAAGTGTGCGATGCTCTATTAATTAACAAATAAATAAAAATAGTAATAAAAGAGTATCTGGTGCTTTTACTGAGTGCAACAGCTCCTTATGCCAGTTTCAGCAAAAGTCCTTAAGGTGTTTGTGTAAAAGTTTCCTGGGGGTTTGCACATAAAACTTGTTTGAAGAATGCCTTTAAAAAAGAATTGGCTCATCATCTGTTTTTAGCTTTTGTGCATCTCAGAGGACCAATGAACCACCAGCAAAAGCAAGGTCCCGTCACAGTCATTCCTCAACGAAGAAAGAGTCGGGCATTCACAATGGCAACGTCACGCATTACCTACAGCTGGCTCACGGCGATCGTGACAGGTCTTCGAGTCAATCTCGTTCAAAAACAATGAGGTGACAGAGTTCAGCACTCGTGCCTCTAGCCAGCGCGCTGCAAATTCTTTCATTGACAGCTTCACCGATGGCACTTAAGCCTCATCACTAACGGAAGCTAAATTAACCGACCTATGGACTCGCCACTCTCTTTACATGAAATGCAGTTGTTTAGTATGCTGAATCAAAGTATGAGAGATGCCACTATCCATAATGCCTGCACAGTTCGACGTGCAAAATTAATTTAATGAAATCCCGGAGGTTTAGGAGCCAAATAAAACAAAGGGCAACTAGCATGCCCCAATGAAGAACTGGGGAGACATTTGGGCACCCAAGAATCTTTTGGCACGCAACCCAAATGTCAGTTTCCCTGCGCCTCCACGGTAAAAAGTCGTCGATCAAGCCGGGACACCTCGGACAAGATTCAAATCCGCCAGCTTTTGAATGAATGAAACTTGGGTCATAAATGAGAGTTCGCCAAAAATGTCAACAGCGTCTGAAACGTCCAGACCAGTGAGCTCACACTAGATAAGATTTTCATAACCAGACAAAAAGATCAATTACTCCAAACAATATAGCAAAGAGCCTGGAGTAATGAAATTCAAATGGTATCAAAGAAAGGGCGTCACGCGGTGTACCGCCAGTTTATGAGGTGCAACGATTCATTCGAGAGCCAATTAGCGGGACGAGTGGTTGCACTTTCCACCAAATTATCAGTAGAGCCTGCCCATCCAGGGCCATCCTGAACAGAAGGGGAAGATCGTTATGCCATCGTCTGCTCATCGGAACTATGCGATAGTTTCCCTGTCGGAGTCGCACGGCGCTGCGGTCCAATATCGGTTCGACACCTCACCTATCCGCCAAGGTCTTGCCTTATCTCGATGAGGCGGCGATAGCACCCGATAATATCGTTCCCTCTTCCTCCATACCCTCCTCCGTAAGTGCGGGCCCGAGTTTCCGTACGGCCCCGTACAAAGAGAACGCGGTTTATCTGGCGGTAGAGTAAACGTTTGAACGGACGGCCTTCTCCTCTGAAATCTTCTAATCTGACTGCCGCGTTAGAACCGACGACAACGCCCCATAGAAGCAGCAGTACGGACAGCTCTCTTCCAGTTAGCGCAGAATACATATCGCGTGCCCTTAATCTCCCCTCGAAAAAGAAGCATCATTCCTTTGTTTGGCGACCGGCAGCCTTGGAAGGGAGTTTCCAGGAAACGCTCGTCGTTTTGCCCGCGATCGCTGATCCATAAAAACCAGCCAGCCGTCGGAGGAAAAGAAAAAATCGCTCCGGCAACGGGTTATGATGGGTGCAAATGCGCGCCGGTCGTCGGCAGTGCCGTTGTAAGACAACGCTCGCCAGCAAACGAATCAAAAGTTGGAAACAACGACCGGTGTCGAGCGACACGAGAACAAGTGTCTTTTGTCTCGCGTGTAAACAAACAAGTAAATCGATCGCGGTGCTTCAAATAGCAAGTAGGCCTACTCGGCCGCTCGCCACCGTACTTTGGTCGCTGTCACCGCAGCAAACGGTGTCGCCGAGCGCTGCAACATAAATGCACGGAGGAACGTTAGCGACGAAAAGACGGGAAGAAGCGGGATTAGAATGAATCGGCACTTTTCGGAGCGGAAACCGTGCGTCGGAATGAACTTGGGACAAAACATCCTCCCCTCGCCCGCTCCGCTGCGCGGGGTCCCCCACAGTCCGCAGTCGCAAAACTCGGCGGCGGGCCTCGACGCGGCTCCCGCCGTTCCGGCCACTCCAAAACACTCGGAAATCGCGAAGAGAGGTAGAGAAGTGATTGGGTTTAGCCTACCTGCCGACAAAATTCTCCAAAACACTGCTCTTTCCGGCGCTCTGCCCGCCGACCACGGCGATCTGTGGCAGGTCTAGTGTCAGGCTGGAGCCGAGCTGTGCGTATGCATCTTGCAGCCTGTTCACGATGGGAATCAGGCCTTCCATGCCGTCGTTCCCGGTCATTCTGGGCACGGCGGCCCCCCAGTCGATGCGGTAATTGTTGGCCGCGCACTACACTCGGCAAAACTCGTACGACACAGGCATCACACGGGCAGGCCACGCCAGCCACCACCACACCGTCGCCGAAGGCAGCTGAGGCCCTAATCAAGATGGCTGCCGCCGCTCTGGCGCATGCGTCGTGCGGTCCCTGGTGACGTCACCGGGAGAGAGGATCAATAGTAGAGCCGGCAACACGCGAAACAACCAAACAACTGGAAAGAAAAAACATCGAAGAAGGGGAAAAAAAAAAAAAAACACGTGGAAGCGCCTCACTACATTGGTCTGACACCGCCTCCCTGCAGACTATTAGATATCATCTGTTCGCTTGGCATTTTTTGGCTGCCCACATCGGAAACATATTGATATAGAGAGGTCGCCTTGGCGTGTCGAGGAAATGATGTCCCAGGCGGGTGACTAATCGAGATCATCACACATTCATAAGAATTACGAATATTCTTTTTTTTTATTATTATTGCATTTAATTACCACGTAGAAAACGGAGAAGACAACAGAATGCCACCATGCAATGTTGACCAAACGGTGGTGGGCTTGAGCACCTTGACACCCAAGAATTTAACCGGGTCAAGGTCATCCCATCCTCCTCTCCCTCTCCCTCTTTTTTTTTTTTTTTTTTTTTTTTTTTTTATTTAGCAGGCGCTTGGAATCGCGGAGCGTTCTCCTGAGGTGCGTGGGAAGTACAGCTGCTTCCCCTTACGTGCATCATGCATGCGACGAGTCAAGCGAAAGCGCAGTAGCGCGCTACGATCTCTTCAACGGCGTGACGTTTACATTAGTCAGGCTGCAAGCGGTAGGCGAAGGAAGCCAGGCGTTCCGACAGGTGTTGGGTAATGCGCGATCGTGTTGGAGAAACGAAATGAATCGTAGTCTTCGTCGCAACTTTCTGGCCGCGGGTGGTGTTTCGTATGTTGCAGGAAACCCGACGGCATAGGGTTTCCTACCTTACCTCTGCGCGTGAGATCGCCTCACACAACGCGGTTAGCACAGTGAAGCGCATGCTCGCACATACAACTGCGGATAAAATGGGCCCGGACGGATCGCCAGGCTTTCCACCATGGTGGATCCTGGGCTCTCGAGACTGGATTGGTATGGTGAGGTACGCCATAGATTTTTTTTTTATTTATTTATTTGCAGAAAGCAAAAAAAAAAAACAAAAAAAACCTGCTTCTTTGTGAGGCATTATTGCAAGGGGTGGGTTTCATACAAACACTTTTGTTTTAGAACACAAGTAATACACACAAAAAAAAAAACACTTTCTATGGATCAATAATGAAATTAAATAAAAACATACTGTCTATAAAAACACTACTCAATTAAAAATTTAAAAAAAGAAAAAAAAATTTGCCGCAAGCACATCTTTCGGCAACCTATTCCACTCTTCCATGGTTTTCGGAAAGACAGAAAAAGCAAAGGTGTCGGTGCGGCAAAAGTACGGTCTAATCTTGTTGGGATGATCTGCTCTTTCGGACACATAAAACGGTTCATGTAAAAACACATCTCTGTTAATTAATAGTCTATTGTTGTAGATATCATCTAGAAATTTCATCCTAAACAATCTTCTACGCTCACTGAGTTTCTCCCAATGTAGGGCATGTTTCATGTTAGTGACACTCGCTCCAAGTTCGTAAGCGTTTAATACATATCTAGCACATTGATTTTGTACCTTTTCAAGTTTGTCTATTAAATAATTTTGGTGTGGATCCCAGGCAACTGAGGCGTATTCCATATACGGACGGATATATGTAAAGTATAAAGTTTCTCTAATTTTCCTCAGGGCTTGCCGAAAATTTCTCCGTACAAAATTAAGCATTCGTATTGCTCTTAGGGCTACCATTTCAACATGTCCCGTCCACGTTAAATCATTAGATAAAATAACACCTCGGTATTTTACATTTGAGCTAGGTTTAATTATTTCATTATTTATCATGTACCCGGAAGTAGTGGGATTTTTTTTCTTAGTAAATTTAACATGCAAGCACTTTTTAACATTTAGGTTCATTCTCCAATTTTTACACCATACAGAAATGTTATCTAGATCCCTCTGTAAAGTATTAATATCGTTAAAATCATTAATTAATCTATAAATAACACAATCGTCCGCAAATAATTGAATATATGATTGCATGCCAGAAATAATGTCGTTTATCTTTAATCCAAGCCAGTGCGTTGCTATGCGGTGAGAGTAAGCTATGTTTATAAAATAACAAATCTTGATCTACAAGGTCAAATGCCTTTCGAAAATCCAAAAACAAACAATCCACCTCGTCTCTAGCGTCAATGGCTCCAGCAAGAAAATGAAAGACATCAGCAAGTACTGTCTTACAAGATGTTCCAGTACGAAATCCGTGTTGATCTCGAATAAGAAACTTTTCGACGTTTAGATGAGCAATGAGATCACTATAAATGACATGTTCCATTAGCTTGCAGCAAATGCACGTCAAAGAAATGGGTCTATAGTTTTCCACACAGTTTTTTGCTCCTGACTTGTGTATTGGCACCACATTTGCCATTTTCCAATCAGATGGAAGCTTTTGTTCCAGTAGAGATTTATTAAAAAGAACACACAAGTAATTTGCCAACTCTTGAGAACAGTTTTTTGACATAACCGGAGAGATGTTATCCGGTCCGATTGCTTTCTGGACATCAAGTTCTCGCAACAGCGAGGCTATACCATTCTATGTTATTTCAATGGGTAACATGACATGTTTAATATTTTGTTGCACGTTTGGGTGACAGCACGATGTAACAGGCTTAGAAAAAACAGATTCGAAATATTTATTTAGATGCGTTGCCTTTCTTTTTTTCATTCTCGATAAGTTCGTCGCCTACTAAAAGAGGAGGAACAGATGTATCGTCCTTGTTATTTGCTTTTACAAACTTTCAAAATTCTTTAGGGTTCATTTTAAGTTTAGTTTCTAACTGTTCGTAATACGCGTCTTTGGATCTTTTTATTGTAGCTTTAAAAAGAGTATTTATGTTTTCTAATCTCACCCTGTTGGATTCACTCCCCCTATTCTTATATCGAAGGTATGCTCTTCTTTTTCGTTTGATAATCTGTTTCACCTCTTTTGTCCCCCAGGGCTTATTTTTAGTTGCAAATACATATATTATTAGCATGATGATGATGATGCTGCTAATAATATATGTATTTCGCAAAATTTTGAGACACGGTACAAGTATACGGGTTTGTTCAACTAAAGGAGGGTTTTTTTGGCGGTACCCGGCTAGCCGAAGTCTAATAATAATAATAATAATCATTGGCCCATGGAGCCGCGACACCACAGAAATGCAACAACCCGTACAACAAAGGCCAAGGACGTTGAACTAAATAAGCGATAGGTTGGACTAGAGCCACTAAATGAGCTGCGCTTAGAGTACCGGCACTCCGTTCCCCGACATTGCTGTAGACGCCGCCATATTGGGGCTTGTGCAGAGCAGACGCGACTTCAGATCGTCATGATTCAAAAGTGCGACTTCCTCAGCATTCGATTCGGTGTTAGGAAGCTCATGTAATATTGCTTTTCTCTGTCGGGGACTGTTTAAACATTTGTGGAGGACGGAAAAGCGTTTCCTGTGATTTCAGATAAAGCTTCAGATAACTGGAAACCATGATTTTAAGCCACAATATGGCCAAGTGTCGTTACTCTGAAGCGTAGCTTATTTAGTGGCACTAGGTTGGACATCCCTTTGTTAATTTTTCTTCCCCCACCCAGACAGATTTTTGTCGATTGCTCACGTTTATGAAGGAATACCATGGACGGAGGCCGTACCATATATATTACCACGCGAGTCGGCGAGCGAGCGCGTGCGTGACCGCGTGGTTACCGCTCTTGACTTTCGCGCGGACGCCCAGAGTTTGATCTCAGGGAGTTACGCGTCTTTTTAATAATTCTTTCAGTTTACTTTTCTGGCGAATTCGAGAACATTGTTGTTTATTCTAGGTCCGATTGTTCTACGTGTCGAACCTTCTACGCCGATTATTCCAGAAGTCCACGCGCGTATATAAAGGGCTTCGCGTGGCGAGTCAGTTCCCCCCCAGCGCTCGATCCTGCTGTTTCGCCGACATCGACGCTTGCGACGCTAACGTTCTTCTATTTTATTTTGGGCGCAAGTTCGCCCCCTTATACGTTTAGTTTCTCCAGTTAACTCAATGCCTCATCCTTTGAGTGATGACAGAAAAAAATTTCACCTATCCACTTTGTACTATCGACGACTCGCAACCTATCAATGTTCACAGACATCGATGACTGCGCGCGCACGGACACGTGCATACAAACATACGCTCAAGTAAAGCCCGAGCGAACGGAAGGGCCTGAAAACTGGCGATGGTCGCTTTAGCAGTGGCAAACTTTCATCTTGTTCAATCAATTATTTGCGAGCATGCTCGCAAATAATTGATTATTATTTGCGAGCATGCTCGCAAATAATTGATTGAACAAGATGAAAGTTTGCCACTGCTAAAGCGACCATCGCCAGTTTTCAGGCCCTTCCGTTCGCTCGGGCTTTACTTGAGCGTATGTTTGTATGCCCTATATGCATATAGGGCCGTTCCGACATGGCTACGAACGTTATCGCGATACTGAAAGGGCGACAGATCTCCGTATAGTAATTTTTCTGCGTAAAAAACAAAACAAAATTAAAATAAAATAATAAAAATGAAAGATGCTTACAATTCTCTGTGAAGCCGAATTAGAGTACAACTCTTGAGGAGGAGGAGGGAAGGGCACAGAGGGGAGGAAAGGGTACGCAGGGAAATATTCCCCCGCTAAATTTGGCGGAAAAATGTCCCCCAAAAATTTAGTGGAAAATTTTTTCGCCAATATTAGGCGCCGTGTGACGTCACGAGGGTGACGTGACTCGTGACGTCATTATGGGAAACGTCCCAAAATGCAACGCGCGGTTACGCCGACGCCGTCGCCACTCAATCCGGAAACGGACGTCAAAGAGCTGCGCTCTAATAATAACGAAGACAAAAACCTGCATATCCAGCATGGTCGCCGTCGAACTACTGCTGCCAGCGCAGTTTGAGATGCATAAATCTCGGCGGATGAAAGCTGCATTTCCATCCAAAACGATTTTGAACCCAAACTCTCAACTGGCACCTCGGAA